CCAGATCAGTGGTGGATTTAAGGGGAGCCCCCCCCCCTCCAGTTTTCAATATTAAAATAATGGAGAGAAAAAGATAATCATATTCAAATTTAAGTCTGAGAGTGCCATTTCCGGCCATCTAGAGGTGCCATAATCATAAATTTTTTTAGTATATAGACTGTACATCTGTGAAAGCCCCTCCCTATTGCGAATTCTCGTATCCGTCAATCCAGATCTCCTGGACAAGGGTGGCGCAGAGGGCGTCCGAGATCCCTGACGAGAATGGCTGATGTCCCTGACGAGAGCATTGTGGGTGTAGTTTGATAGTTTCTGAAAATATATTGAAAGTGGACAAGGCTTATTAATATTTAATTGAAATACTTTTTTTTGGCAGTCGGGGTCCTTCCCCCTGACATTCTTGCATATGAATTCAATACCTGTATGGTATTGTGCCTAATATTTTCCAGGATTGGTGCATTATTACTAATCCTCAAAAAACCTAATCTTGATTCATGTAATTTTAGACCCATCATTGTTTTTAATACATTGTCTAAAAATTCTGAATTAGATTGTTTAGATTCATGTGCTGATACCTAATTTGACCCTCTCCAATTTGGGTTTATCAGCGACACCAGAACACCAGAACATTTATGGTATCTTAATGACTGCTTTCTTAATAATATGGATGAAATTGAGTGTCTGGGAAGTGTTGTTATCTGCAAAAAGTCATGGAAAATCACATGTTGAAAATATAACTAAGAAAAAAGATCATTTTTCTCCCTTCAGAGAATGGGCATATGTGAGGATGGTACATCAACTAAAGTTAAAACATATATTTGGAAAACTGTTCTTGTATCAATCTTAGTATATGGCTTTCAATGTATTAATACAGAAACTTGATAAAATTTAAAGTAAACTTAATTATTAACACTTCATAGGGCCTATCCAACTTCTGTATTTCGTCTCCTCTGCTCTCGGCTCTTAGTTTGCCAAAAATCTGTGAGATTATTAATAATTACCAACTTAAGTTAATTTTTAAAAGTGACTCTAATTCCTGAAAGATTTATTCTCACTTATTGAACTGTGAGACCTCAGTCTCAGTTAGAAACTGATAGATAAAATGAAAAAAATTACTATTCCTAATAATATACAGTTATTTAAAATGTTATTTGACAGAAAATGAAATATAATTTGAAATCAAATTTTCATGATGATGGATAACTGATAGTGTTAAGACAGTATTTCAGATGCATCCGTTTTTAGAATGTAGCAGACGAGAGCTTTTATCACAAATTTCGAAAGTTAACTTTTAGTAGAGTCAAAATGATGAAGAAAATGCACTTACCCCAAAAAAATTGCAAGAAAACGTTTTATGATGGTTTTATGTACAATAAAACGTGGAGAATAACATATCAAAAGTTGGCAAGAATCGGACAAATTGCCAGATTTATAGCTATTTTTAAGGTATTGGCACCATTTTGGCGGCCATCTTGGAAAAACTATTTTCCGTTGCTCCGATTTTTGCCAACTTTTGATATGTTTTTCTCTAAACCTCATTCTACAGAAAAACATCAAAAAACGTTTTCTTGCAATTTTTTTGGGGTCACATGTCAGATTGACCCTACTATTATTCCCGTAGTTCAGTAGGCCTCTCATAGGTGCTATGTTTAATATAAATAAACGTGTATAAAGAAATGCTTGTGTCTTCATTGTGTTATTTTTCATTTTAACACTGTATACATTGTATGGTAATGAGGTGTAACTTAACTACACTTTGGTAGATGAGATATATAAAGTTGCAACATGGTTTGAGGTGATGTTAAACTGAGCACTCACTGTACTTGATAAGCCATCCAAAATGGAAGCCAGTGGGCATGGCACAGAGCCGACGGGCGGGCCACGGCCATCTTTGGGAGTCCCCACCGAATATTGGTACGAAAAAAACGTATATTCAATCAATAAATGCTGTCTCTTATACACATCTAGATGTGTATAAGAGACGAGTACAGGTGGATTAACCAGAGGAAGTGGCATGACTGAACACCAAAGAGCCGTTTGGACAATGTCTGCTCCTATATCCTCAGCGTATAACTTTGCCATGCAGGACTTCACTAATAAAGTGTACACAACAAGTGTGCAACACAAAGAGGAAACTGTCTCGTGTATGAAAAGGGACAGGGTAGACTTGGAAAACCTTTCAACCAAGCGTGTAGAATATTCTCCTTTCTCAGAGGAGTCGACAATGAGAAACATTATCACAGGAATAAATGCTGATAAAGACGTAAATGTTGAAGAACTTTTCACCACAGGTGAAGAAATAGTTAAAAATGTGGAAGGACAGTCGGTCTTTTCATATTCATACAGACGCAAGAATAAGGCCAAGACGCTAGCATCAGCTCATCCCATCAAGGTGTCTGAGGATCAAACCATTGATCCAAGTCTTCTGTTTCAAAGGTTCTTGCTATTATCGCAATCTGGGAATCTGCCTAGATGAGGTAATGAAATACAAACTGTCACCATATCCCCCATCTTTGTTTGAAGCAAAGCATATTTTGCCTGAAAAGGCACAACTTCTGAATGCACTACGAAACCATGTCACTTCATCAGACGCTGCAGTACATCGTTCCATCCCCAAAACGGATCATTATGTTCTTGATGGAGGCTCTCTTATCCACAGATTAAAATGGAGAGAAGGGAACACATATACTTCAATTGCATATCTACGCATCTTTTACGCTCAAACTATATGGTCAGGCCACCATAGTATTTGACGGATACAATGGAGGGCCAAGTACAAAATACAATGCATATCAACGACGAAAAACTTGAGTTACAAATAAGGTCAATATAACAGATTCAACAAAATTTGTTGGAAAAAAAGATTTCCTCTCAAAGGTTATGAACAAACAGGCACTTATCCATCTGATTGCAACCCGCCTGCATCAGAAAGCCTGCCATGTAATACAAGCTGAAGGAGATGCAGATGTGGATATAGTAAAAGCAGCTGTTCCAATGTCATCCTACAATTCAACAACCCTCATTTGAGAAGACACAGATCTGCTGGTCCTGTTACTTTATTACGGAACAAAGGATTGTAAGGACCTTTACTTTCGGTCCGACAAAGACAAAGAGAATCCATACTCTTATAACGTCAAGGTTCTGAGACAAATACTAGGTGATGGTATGTGCCGTGATCTGTAGTTCAAGAATCTATGGGATTGGCAAAAAGTCTGTCTTTCAGAAAGTGTGACCCTGTCCTGCGTGCATAGTTCCAAAATATTTTGCGCACCAAAGGAAGATCAGCTTACAATAGAAGGAACTGGATGCAAAGTTATGGTATCATTGTTTAATGGGACCCAAACTCAGTCTCTCATATCCTTACGTTACAATTTCCTTTGCAAGAAAGTGGTCACAGCAAAGACTTTTGTAAAACCTGAAAAACTGCCTCTAACAACCTCATCCACAAAATTTAACTCTCGGCGAACATATTTGCAAGTCATGCAGTGGATGGGCACAGACAGTGGTATGGATCCTGCTGAATGGGGCTGGGATATACAAGGCGACAAACTAGTTCCAAAAATGACGGACAATAAACCAGCACCTGACAC